CAGATCGATGCTAGCTGCATGCACGCAGAGTTCGTTAAATTCGTCTGACGCCATATAGTACATGACGCGCTTGATTAATTACTTTCTCACGGATCAAAGCTTAATAACTTGATCGATCTATGCCTCTTAACTTTCTGAATCTTCGTAACGAAATTCTGCCTAGCTCGGTTTGATTTTCTATGCGTTTCCAAGAAAAAATACACGCGATAGCGGAGCCAAATTTTCTAATCCTAGGGCTTAAATAAAACTCAGTTAATAGGATATTGGCTTTCTAAAAAGAAATTGTATGATGGTTTAAAAATATTTACATATAATTAATTGATTATGAAGGCAAACCTAGGTCGGCTTGCCCTAGGCTTGCCTCCACCCTTGAAAACACACGTACATGTAAGTAAATGTAACATGTACAAACGATGCTACAAGTAGTTAACTCTGGACTAATTCTATTATACAAATTAGGGCATTTAATTTGTTCAGCAAATTCCTTATATGTGGACAGTCAGACACTTCCTAAAGCAAAATTCACTTTCGATCATAGTTTTTTATTACCAGTGTTTCACTTTGTATTATATTTTAAGCAATGTTTTTACTTAATCAAGTAATTTTACCTTTATTTCGCCTTGAACCATCCTAACTCCCTTCTCAAGCATATAAACGATTTCGAGTACACTAGCTTTTACTCGTTAATTAAGTCCCACTGTTATACTAAAACTATCGTTTTGACATATGATAAGTTGATGGAAATTTATAAAATAGTCAAGGGTGGTGTACTGTTGTAAAGTGTCACAAAGGTAAATCCACTCTGTTCAAAGTGAAAATATTTGTTAAAAGAGGATTTAAACCGAAACAATGGCAATAAAATGTGACGAAAATTGAAATTTACTCAGTTTTTTATAAGTGAGACACTTGCTAACTGATTTTTTTTATTTTGCTGGTTGAATTGATGCAGGGTCTGATGCTCTTGCTGTGGCTGTATTTGTTCGATTGCATGAGAACATACGTGACCGACTACGTTGGCGACGGAGACTCGTGGTTTACTAAGTTTGTTTTGTTTGTTGTAGCCGTGCCCATGGCTGACCTTTTTAGCATCTTCGCGTGGCTATGCCTTCGGCTCCCTTTGCCCGGATGCAGCCCACTTGAACGTCCAAGAGATTTTTAAGTGGTAAATTTTGAGGTCAATTATAAGTAGGAGTTATTTACGCAATTGTACACGCTATGCACCAACCTCACTTTCATGTCTATAGAGTAATTAATATAAGATGTAGAAGTTACATTTTTGTCTTTTCTTTATGGGTCCATATTTTCTTTTCTCGAAGCGATCGACATGTTCATCTACTTCGATACATCGATGCTATATGCGAACTTGCTAGGCCCCTCTGAATAAAAAAAATTATGGAGGAATTTCATAATGTAGAAATTCTATAGGCAATTTTCCTATGTAGATCTTTGATTCAAAGAATTGGAGTTTTCCAAATTCTATAAAATTTCTATGAAATAGCTCGTTGCACGTAGATTTTGAAGAAAACTTAGTAAAAGGTTTAACCTCTTGAAAAATTCCTTTGAGTCTATCTCTCTTATCAGATTCCTGTGTTTTTCCTGCAGTCTAATCAAATGACCAGCCATTTTTGTGTTTTTAATAATTATCTACTTTATATTTGTATTTATGTTAGAATTCTATATTTTTTCTATTCCTCGTATTTTCCTTCCTACTATTGAAAGGGACCCTAAATTTTATTTGGCCAGCAGGCATTATTAATTCTGCGTTTCTGAACAATCTATAAATCAAAACTTGTATATAGTTACAATTAAACTCAAGAAATAAATACGGCCGAGGAGAAGGAGAACACTTAAATATTATAGGTTACAATAAACTTAATTATATTGTACCCTCGATACTAAGAGCATGACGAAAGCGATCACTAATAGAGCTCCTCAAATACCATAAGATGAGATCGTTTGCTCATTGTCAGGGAGTCAACCTGGGATGCTCATCCTCGCCACTTACATTATCATGAACGTTCCATACTATCACCAGCGAGAAAATTTGTCATTATATTATATTATGCTACCGTTGGAAACGGTTTTCTCTAGAATTTCATCTCGCGTGTAGAAATTAAATGCCACCCTTGAACGGTGGCACCGCCGCGACCTTCTTCAACAGGAGCCTCATGTCATTTGGTCGAGAAGTTCAGATCTATTTATACTACCACATCAACGCCACCGTTGAGAGGGCGCCGTCGCCGTCGAGGCCGTTAGGGGGAGGGACGGCTGTCACCGCCGTCTCCGCCGCACCCCGCCGTCACTGCGCCGTGCCGGCGAGACAGGAAGGAGAGCGGGAGAGGGAACGCGGACGCCGCCGTCGTCGCCGTTGACGCTGCCACACCCGCCGTCGCCGCACCATGCCGGCGAGAAGGGAGGGAGAAGGGAAGGAAAGTGGCGCCGGTGGTGGGAGAGACGGCACCGGTGGCGGGGGAGGCGGCCGGCTTGGGGGAGGGGGAGAGGCGGGAGATGGGGAGAGGGAGCGGCGCTGCCGGAGGGGAGGGGAGGGGAAGCGGCGCCGGTGGAGGGAGAGGTGGCGTCGGGGGCGAGGGAGGCGGCCGGCTGGGGGAGGGGGAGCGGCGCCGCCGGATGGGAGGGGAGGGGAGGGGAAGTGGCGCCAGTGGGGAGAGGGGGAGGGGGAGAGGTGGCGTTGGGCGCGGGGGTGGTGGCCGGCTGGGGGGAGGGGGATGGGGAGGAGGAGGGGGAGGGTTAGGGATAGGGTTTTCATCAATTTGGAACTGATCTGAACCGTCCTCGGCTCAGATCGATCGAGGGTTTGGACCGTACCACTTGGGCCACACGCGGGCCGGTGGTCCAGCAAGTGAGAGGAGGAGTATGGGAGTATTAACTAGACTTTTACGCTTGCGGGTTAAATAAGAAAATGGGTTGAAAAAGGCCCATAGAGAAAATTGATTTTTATTTTGATTTTTATTTAGATAAATGCTGAAATGATATTTGTATTATGAAAATTACCAATTAAGCTATATAAATTCCAAGAAAATTTTAAAGAGTGTAATTAATATAGAAAATTTAATAAAAACTAAATCCAACCATAATATTTTATTTCTCACACTTACTTTACTTGAAAATTAATTTAATTATATACCTACCAACATAAAAATACCCTAATATTCCAGAAAATGTGTATATCATTTAATTAGAATTTAATATGTTTTAATTTAATTTTCTCTTTTTTTCTTTCCATTGCAATGCACGAGCACTTTTGCTAAAATTTCAAAGTGTGTAATTAATATTGTAGAAAATTTATATTTCATTAAATTAAAATTTAATATGTTTTAATATAGTGTTCTCGTTTTTTCTTTCCGTTGCAACGCACGGGCACTTTTGCTAAACCAAAAAACACTTTTGGTCAATCTACACACTCCGTAATCACCCGGTGCAACGCACGGGCACTTTTGCTAGTTTATACTACCACCTTAATTAATAATAGTAAAAATATGGATGGACATTATTATATTAAAAAAATAGGTACATTGAGATATATGGTCTGTTCAGATTATAGCTAAAATAAACCATATCAAATTTTGCTAATTTGGTAATACTGCCAAGTTTTGGCAGGATTTTTTATTTATTTATCAGAGTTTGGTAAGAAACTAAATAGATGCACATATTTGAAAACTTTACCAAAAAATGGTATGATTTGAAATGGATCAATCTGAATAAGCCCGTAATCGTTATTTAGCAGTGTCTATAAAAACATAATACTCTCTCCGTTTCCGTTTCATATTACAATGTAAATATACTAAAATTCCACATGTAATTTAGAGACTTACAATATAATACATTCTGACTATATTTCATGAAAAATATGACGGCACAAATATATATAGTCCCTTTTTATATATTATGAAATAGCATCGCACTATATTGTTTATCAACTAGCGCACGATACAAAGTGCTTACATATTATCTTAACTAATTAAAATATTCAACATTTTTCTATCGTCACATAATATGTTTTAGTTCGTCGGCGGTGCGCCTTCCTGCCCTCACAAGTGACGCCATCGATCTCTCATGACGCGTACGATGGACAAAGATTAAAATTGAAACTGATACGAAATCCAATCGGATAATCCCTACTTAGAGAACCCAAAGAAAAGGGGAAAAAAAGAAAGAAAGAAAAAAATCGCACAAATCCAAAAGCCCACCCAATCTTAGCAGGATCACATTGTCAGTGTCTCCTAAGCCTCGATCTGCCTCACAAAACAGAAAGCTCAATCGATCTATCTCACAAAACAGAAAGCTCAATTCGAGTCGGCTCTGTTCAAATCACATATTGATGACCAAATCAATGCCCGCATCATGCCCAGATGGATGCCTAAATCAATAAAATCATTCATTTAGAACTGAATAAAATAGGAAATATGTAAATCATTCATGTCTTACTTAGTTCTCAGTCCCAACAAAGAAACTAACATCTCTAATCAACGATATACTGAGGTCACCGCCGCCGCCGTGCCTCGTTGCTTGCTCGAGGCCGAGGACGAAGACGCCGCCGCTCCTGCTACCTGCCGAATAATTAAATATAATTGAATATATTTTCATAATAAAATTATATTGGGTTGAAAATATTACTACTTATTTTCTATAAGCTTAGTCAAACTTAAAGCGGTTTAATTTTAACCAAAGTCAAAATGTCTTATAACCTGAAATGGATGGAGTATCTAAAACAACGAATTTAGATAAAATATTTCCTAAATTAATTTATTTTAGGACGGGAATAGAATTGTAGAGAAGATCCTATATATATACCCGCACAAATCGTACTCGTAGATGACATATGCAGAACGTGCCGGATCACGTCATTAAACTGGTATAAAGGCCGTAGCAACCAAAAAAGAATTGATAAAAGACAGAGGGCCCACCGTATATGCATGTACTTATGTGACATAAGGACTATACGTGTCCTGGAATCAAGGTGTTACCCGATCTCTTTTCAAGCGTTGGCCGGGTGGATCAATAATCGGTGATCGATGCCACCAAGCGCTATGACCACACCACCGTATCTCCGGCGAGTCTCTCCGGCGGCGAGTTGCTTTGGCTGCGCCGGCGGCGAGGCCCCCACCTTGGACGACAATGACGTGGCGCCGCTGCTGGACGTCGAGACCGGCGGCGGCGATCGGAGAGGACGGCCGTCGGCGGAGGAGATGAGGACAGGCAAGCAGCCCCGCCGCGAGCCGACGACGACGGACGCCGAGATGATGCACGAGTGGAACAGGGCCGGCGTTATGGCCATCAAGTGCGTCGTCCGGGTAAGTGTACTGATCGATCGATCGATCGAGCCCGCCGTGGATCCCAAATTTAATCCTAATTTTTATGCTCTATTCATTCGAAAATATAGCAATGCACGATTAGACATCAGCTAGTAATACGGTGCCTATTGTTAGGTCAAAGAACAAAGGATTCAGTACTGATTCTTTCTAACAAAAACTAGCGTTTTGTACGATTGGACATCAGCTAGTAATACGGTACCCATTGTTAGGTCAAAGGATTCAACACTGATTCTTTCTAACAAAAACTAGCGTTTTGTACGATTGGACATCAGCTAGTAATACGGTACCCATTGTTAGGTCAAAGGATTCAACACTGATTCTTTCTAACAAAGACTAGTGTTTTATGCGATTAGACATCAGCCAGTAATACGGTACCCATTGTTAGGTCAAAGGATGAAAAAGATTCAACACTGATTCTTTCTACTAGGTTGATTATTTTTGGGATAGAGAGAGTAACAATGACTAGCTAGCATTTTGTACGATTAGACATCAGCTAGTAATACGGTACACTGTTAGATCAAAAGATGCAAATGATTAAACACTGATTCTTTCTACCAAAGACTAGCGTTTTGTATTGAGCCGTCTGTTAAGGATACACCTATTGGAGCGTGCGTGTGTTGTGGTACATATATACATGTATTTGGAGAAAAAAAATTATATTTTTGTTGACAGAAAACACGATGCCTGGGAGATCTGCTTAACTCCAGTGCAGGTCCAAAGCTCGCCTTCGGGTGTGCTAGCATGCCAGTTGATTTGATCCTGTAACCAACAAGAAGTAGAAGCAAAGAAATCGCGGTTAAATCTATAAATGATAGCCGATCGGCTAAGTGCCGATGACACATCATTTATCTTTATCTTTGAGCCGATGTCATATGTGTATCGATCGGCAATCTTGAATAAGTAAGAAAGAACTAAATCTACTCGATCAGCTATAGATGTTAACGATATATACTCCTTATATCGATATATACTTAAATCAAGTGATTGGGATAGATCGGTCGCCATGCCGAGACAGTATAAATCACTTAGACCGAAATATATATATTAATAACAGGACTATATATGTCTACAGCATAGCCGATCAGATAGATCTAGCATGTATCGGCTAATACTCCGATACTACTTTATATCAGGATATTAAAACAGGTATAGAGTATCAAGCAAAAGCCTAATATACTCAAATACAGCAATATCTTGGCATAAATGGCAGATTTAACATGTTAATAAAGCATATAAAGCAAATATAGTTAAATCAGATAAGATCGGCTGAAACTCCGATGCTACCCTAATCGGCAACCTGAAGGCAGGCTAGAGGTTGATATTCTAAGTACGACTTAATAGATCAAACTTAACTGATGCAGCATTAAGTATGAAAAGAAGAACAATATCTAGACAATCAAACCACTGGAAGTTTCATAAAGTGGTAAATATCTTATATAATTTAGGTCAACGTCGCTATTTAACCTGGTCGGCTGCCTTCTACCGACAGATGTTAGCCGATTGTAGATTAGATAGCGGTATTGCCGGAGATTATGTAAGATATATGACAGCTCGGCGAATTATATAAACGAGATCAGAGTATCATAAAGATGGAAGCACTAATCCCGAAAACACAAGTCGTCATAACAAGTTTTACCTCTTGTTGAAGATCGAAACCGATGCAGCTCAACCCGAAAAAGAACTCGTCGAAAAAAAACTAAAGTAAAAGGGTGGCGATGCGCCGAGATTGTATTGAACGTGTGTTAAAAGTTACATAGGGCTCGGGTCTATTTATACCTCGAGAATTACAAGATATGTCCATAACGGACACGACTACTATCTCTAACAAACTCTAAGATATTATAAGTCTTTGCGGCAGATTTTTGCCCAATCATATCTCTAAGGAAATTACATAAAACATCCTAATTAATAGATACAATTGCCTCCTCAGGACTCTATCCATGTGCGGCAATCGCCTTGAAGCACCTCAATCCAACCCGACATCACACATCAAGTTGTATTGCTAGGATCGGCTACATCGGCTTACCTAGTCCGACTCAGGCTCAGCCGATCTTATCGTAACCGATCTGGACTCCTGCTCTATTTCCGAACTCGATCTCCGCCTCCGACTTCACTTCAATCTAATCTTCTTTCCCAATGCCGATATTACCAAATTTGGTTGTTAACAATTTTAAATATTAAAAAATATCTTATTACGCATTGTTCAGCCTCTAAATCAGTTCGATTTGGGTAAGATTTGGAAAAAATGCCACATGTAAATAGGACATAAATCTTTTTTGCATTCTCTTTCTAAAAATACTAAGGCCAATAAAATTTGCCTATTACCATAGCAAATATGCGAGTGTCATTTTCACCATCCACATACCCGTGGATGATATATTTGTGAATTTTATCAAAATTTACGTCCAACCAAAGAGGAAATATCCAATGAAAACTTGTGAAAATTATACCTAGCTAAAAGTTCTCTAAATTTCATGAAAAAATTATTAGAGATAGATATAAGCATGAAATACATTGATACCAAATCTCAAATTCAAACTTAACTTACTTTGAGTGGAACGATAAAGACAAATTTTAGATGAATAGTCATGTTTCTATATATATTTCCCTAAAAAAAATTTTACCCCTAAAGAAAATTGAATCCGAACTTAAGATTTTGTAAGAATATATTTCATGCCTATATATCTATTTCTAATAATTTTTTTATGAATTTACAAAAAAGTTATATCTGATCATTTCCCTGAATTTTTATTTATTTAATACTTTTCACCCGATATACCCTATCTACGATCAGTTTGGAATGTTCTCATTGTTCTAGTTCATCTAGCTTGATTTAGCCAGGAATCTAATTACCGTTCTACAGCCCCTACTGCCAGGAGTAGAATTCAACAATCCTTTCCATCTGTTTAGAACAATTCTAATTGGATATTTTTTGCATGCTTTTGCAGGGAGTATTGACAGTGTTTTGGCTGTATATGGTAGATTTAGTGAGAAGACTTTTCAGTACCCACATACTTGGAGCCTTAATAGCGTACGTGGTGGCAATGTTCGTTTCGTTCACTTTTGGACGGTAAGCGAGTCATTGGAAGAGTTGCATGTGGCACCATTTCACACTTTCATCCTACGGGGAGTAAGCAGCACTACGTGAATTACAATGGAAAATTATTTTTATTCCTCGAGAGGTTATTGTTTGCATGTCATTTAGATAAATATAAAAAATTTGAAAAAAAAGAGATGATATATTAACATGTGATATATCACTCCACAAACATGTAAGTTCAAATTCCAACTTATGCATCTCGCAAAAAAACAATTTATTTTTTCTAGTCAAATTTGTTTTCGTTGCGATATATAGAAGTTGAATTTGAACTTGTATGTTTGTAGAGTGATATATTATATATTAATACATTTTATTAAAGTTTTTCATAACTATTTAAATGACATGTAAACAACGAGAGAATATCCTCTCGAGGGATCAAAATTAATCCACTCTCAACTAATAGCTATAGAATTCGCAATCTCATTATTGTGCAACGTTGAAGCCATTCTACGTGTAAGTACATATTGCATATCTCTTCTCTATCTCTACTTATCTCTAATGTTATAAAAATTAAAGATGTTTTTGCTGGTACTTTGGTACGTCATCCGTATATGAGTCGGTTTTTAAGTTTGTTTGCTTTTGAAAAAATATATATGTATTTGAGTCAGGTTTTAAGTTTGTTCGTTTTTGGAAATACAGAAGGAGTCATATAAAAAATCTTTTTAAAAAACTCGCATGCTAATTTGAGATGAGTGGACTCCTAATTACAGCTCATGAATTCATGATCTTTTAGAGAAATATATATCCAAGCAAATTTCGACAGTGATTTTCACCTTAATTAAACCATATATCAATAATAAAATTAAAATAACCTTCACCTGTTGCAACGTATGGGCTTTTTTTAAGTATATAATAAAAGACAAATTGCATATATAATAATAGTCCGGCAGCTTCTCTATTTTATTACTCCACTACGGCTACATGCACAATTGGGGTTTCCACACAGTCGTTATTGTTTCCGTTGCAATGCAGGTGCAGACAGTTTGCGCTGCGTTCGGTTGGAACATTTGGGACCTTTGCCACGCATATAAAACGGAACGAGTTATTAGCACTAATTAAGTATTAATTAAAAATTAAAAATATATTAGTATTATTTTTTAAAGTAACTTTTTTGAGATTTTTAACAATGAGTTGTTCAGAAGTTCAGGAAGTGTTTGTGTAAAAATAAAGGAGCAGAAATTGGAAAAGTTCAGGAAGTGTTTGTGTAAAAATAAGGGAGTAAACGTTGGAAAGAGCAGGAAACGAATGCACCCTTCAGAGCAAATAGCTACTAGTACTATTAAAGAGCACCTCAATTTATCTCTAGAAGTTTGACCAAATGCATTTGTGAAATATCCCATACGTTGGCAATGTCAATGGCTTCAACGAATGATGTGGCTCATCCTGATTGCACTTTGTGATTCACTTTTACTAGGTAAGATATGGATGTATTTAGTTTGTTACCAAATATTGGTAATGCTTAGAGAATTTTGGCAACAATACATTTGGCCTATTCTAAAAGAATGACAATATTACCAACTTGTTTGTTAAATTTTGAAAATGTTTATTTAACAGTAATCCTAACAGGCCCAACTAGAAAGTCTCTCACGCTGGGCCTTGTTGACCGGCCAGTTAGCCATGCGTTCTGGGCCACCGTTGCCTTTCCTCGTCGCCAACTCACCTGCCCGGTGGCTCGCAACGTCACTCTCGCCGCCTTGAACTCGTCCGTCAAGGCCTCCCACCTCCACGCACGGACCCAACAAGAATTCGAACAAGCTCAACTGAACAAAGCCCAGTGCAACAAGAATTCATGCACTCGCCTCGTGAGGGCTGTCAAAAATGCTCAAAACTCGCGAGCTGCTCGAGCTCGGCTCGTCTAGGCTCGATTCAAGCTCGGCTCGAGCTTCAGACAAACTAAGCCTGAGCCTCTCCTTAAGCTCGCGAGTTTTATCGAGCCAAGCTTGAGCTTCCAACGAGTCTAGTAATATATATTTTTTTGTTATTTAATAAATTATGAGATCAAATATGTTATTTGTATGCCTTATATTAATATCATATATTTATTTTATTCTTTTTTCCTCTTCTATTAATACGATGCACTAGAAATTAATTGTTTTTTAAAAGATTATATTTGAAATATATATTGTTTTACTTAAAAATTAAGCTCGGTAGTCGAGCTTGTCAGAAAGCTCGAATATTTTATAGACTCGGCTGGAGCTTGTATCGAGTTCGAGCCTAGACAAACGAGCTCGAGCGAGCTCGTTGACAGCCCTTGCCCTCGTCTGCGTCTGGCCGTCTGGTACACATGTAGGAGTAGTACTGTTTCACAGGAAGACAACACAAATAAGTACTACAGGCTACAGAGTTGCTGAGACTGACGATGGCCTCAGGATTGGTAGCAGTAAATCGTGCGTGCATTTTGTACCTTCTAGGAGTAAAAAAGGAGTACTACTCCTAGCAGATGGTATAAACTTGATGTCTTGTACTGTACTTAAGTGATCGAGTGAAATACAGTAATCTAGGTCTAGATACCCCTACATTAACCATGAACAACAGTACATCTTGGATGTCACCCAAGGGACTGATTCACATCATCAAATGACGCTACTATCTGGCATCTGCAGCAAAACACAGGGGACCCAACTTAACCCAAAGCATTCAAGCCCCCATCATCAATCTGAAGCAAGCCAAAAAGAACAGAAACAATCAAACGAGAGCAGTAGTAGCACAACCAAAAAAACCAGGAGGCATCAAAGAGTGGCAGGCAAGTACTATCAGATTGATCCATTTATTATTTTCTCCCATTTGCTGACAACCTTGTATCGAGATACCATTATTCTGATTCCACGTCGTAAAGCATTTTCTCTGCTTTTTGTAGACAGCCTGTTGAACATGATGTTCGCGCTGTCGTACAGTTCGAAAAGGTTCGTCATCCTTCCCTTTTTTTTCGTTCTTTCTTTCTTTCTTTTCTTCACCTGAATTTTATAAATGTTGTCACGGGGATCGCCGTGGCCAACATGGAGCAGGGATCCTTTCCTTTCTCGTTTGCAACGTACCAACAGCTAGTGTAACTAGACAACCGAGTCATCTGGAGAAAAAGATTGAGAGCCAAATAAGTGAGACAGGCTTGTAAAAAGCTCATGTCATTTGGCTGCTCGCTCAGCGGTTTTTGCATCTCTCTGACGTTTGGCTATGCATCTGTCGGCGTTGTTCGATAGCGCATCCTAGAAAGAAAAAGGTTTCTTGTACAGTTGTACTCAAAAGGACAGGGTTTGTTGGTTCTGTTTGTGTGATTTTTATTCACGCTGTATACAAACAAATTATAATACTCCATAGTGACTATGGCTGTGTTCGGATGCCTGAGTTCCCAACTCTAATAGTGCGCACGAAAAACGGAGCGATCCATTAGCACGTGATTAATTAAGTATTAGCTAATTTATTTTTCAAAAATAGATCAATATGTTTTTTAGGCAACTTACGTATAGAAACTTTTTATAAAAAAACGATCCGTTTAACAGTTTGAAAAACATGCACGCGAAAAACGAGAGGAGAGTGTTGGGAACTTAGAGTTCCGAACACAGCCTATGTTTTTTTAAGTGTAGTACGTATGCTGGTACTGGCACCAAACTTACATGTTACTCTATTTGTTGATGTATTCCAAGCAGGGCTCATAAAACTGATGAAAACCTCCCGGTTTTGGCACAATTTTTAGGTTTAGAGCCACCTTGAGCTGATAAACCGCTCTGATAAGAAAAATTCAAAGTGCATTTCAATTTTTTTTTACAGGACTTACTTGAAATTCATCAGATTTCAATGCTTTTCATGAAAACAGGTAAAACCGCTTAGGAGCATTTTCTTATTAGATAAAACCTGATTTCAAGTTGGTCATTGGACCTCAAATCCTTCAGTGGTGAATTTTGTGCTCCCAACTTATGAGCTTAGGAATTAAGGATTTAATGTGTGCACACGCACGTGCGGGTGAGGGTTCAAAAATCATTTGCTCGCCAAATACTGCACTAGCCTCCACAGCAATTTTGACGGTTTTTGTGAATAGTATCTAACAAATTTGTCGAAGATTGAATTTCAGCTTATTTTTTTAAAAAAAGAATCGTCAGTTTATCAGTTTGTTTCTTGATGCGAGCTGAAGCGAACTTGTTCTTTATTTCCACGTATTAGACCATCATGGAATTATCTCTGCTATTATAAAAATTGAAGATGTTTCCGCGGTCCGTCATTCATGTTTAAGTCGGTTATAAAAATTGAAGATGTTTCCGCGGTTCGTCATCCGTGTTTGAGTCGGTTTTAATTTTTATGATTTGGTTTTAATCTATATCTCTTCTCTACTGTTATAAAAATTGAAGATGTTTTTGCCGGTATTTTGGTACGTGTCATCCGTGTATGAGTCGGTTTTTAAGTTCGTTTGCTTTTGGAAATACATATCCGTATTTGAGTCAGTTTTTAAGATTGTTTACTTTTGGTAATACAGAAGGAATCATATAAGAAATATGTTTGAAAAACTCGCATGCTAACTTGAGATGATCAGGCTCCTAACTGCAGCTCATGATTTTCTATATATATATATATATATATATATATATATATATATATATATATACTAGAAAAAATGCCCGTGCGTTGCAACGGGTAAACTAAAATTATACCAAATATAAAAGTATTAGATGATTAGGGTTTAGTTTTACATGATATGAGCTTTTTAAGAAAATCTATTCCTAATGAAATAAAAACAATTCAACTTAAGGGACCTCAAGTGAACTTATTCTGTGCGTGCACGCGGCCCATGAGGCGGGCTACAGTGTGGGCGGCCTGAGAACATATTCGGGGACGACTTTAGGGACATAAAGTAAATGTATTCTCTGAGGAGATTACAAGCGGCCCAATAGTGTGGGCAGCCTGGGAACGCTGGAGAAGCTGAGCCGTCCGATCTGATGGACGGTCTTGATTGATCACGACCTATATAAAAGTTCAATGATCCAAACCCTAACCCTAAAAACATTTCCCCTCCCTCCCTCTCCCTCTCCCTCAGTGGCGGCGCCTCTCCCCCTCCCCGGCGGCGCCTCTCCTCCCTCCCCGGTGGTGCCGCTCCCCCTCGCCTCCCTCGCGTGACAGATCCGGCGACGGTGGTGTCGGCGACGACCGTGGGTGGATCCAGCCGCGGTGGTGGCGGCCGAGGACAGATCCGGCGGCGGCGGCTCCCTCCGACTCCTCTCGCCTCCCTCCCGCGACGGATCTTACGGCGGTGGTAGCGTCGACGGCGACCGCATGTGGGCTCGGTGGCTGTTGCTCCCCCTCCCCGGTGTGGCGACGTGGCCAGGAGCGGTGGTGGGCTCGGGAGCGGCGGCGGGCTTGGGAACCGGTCACAGTGGAAGGCTACGATGCCGACAACGGCGGCGACGGCGGCGGACGACGGACGACGGCGACGACCACGAGGAGGGTGGCTCTGGGAGATGGCTAGGGTTAGGATTTGGATTTTATTTTTGATTTGGAATGTTGATTTTGTGGGGATTCTTGGTTTTGATTTGGGATTGCAATTGAGTGATTCTGTGATTCTTGGGAATTGGGGGCAAAGGGGTTGGGAGGCTGATCTGCTCGGGGATTTTTTTTAAAAAAGACGGACTTGGACTTACACGACGATGACGGACGAAACGGACGATCGGAGGCCTTACATGTTTTGAAGTAGGTATAGAGTTATAAAACCAAACGAGACCATTATGTCGCATGCATGACCGTAAATGCATTAGGTGGTATGTTTTAACTTAACGAAGAGAACAAAAAAGAAATCAATGGAAGAGCATCTTTTAACTTAACTACCGTAATAGAGAGAAAAAAAATTAACGGGAGGGAAGGCTACTCCCATGGAACAGAATGGGAAACAACGTTTGAAACGCATGCGTCCAAATGCGAAACGGAAAGGGACGACGTACCAAAAACCCATGGTAAAAATAAGTTAAACTTTTATAATAGTAGAGATATATCCAAGCGAGCTCTCACAGTGAATTTCATCTTAACTAAACCATCTAACAATAATAAGATTAAAATATACTTCACCCGTTGCAACGCACGGGTATTTTTTCTAATCAATTAAAAAAGTCTAAGTCTAACTTATTTTTAAGCTTTCTCATTGTCTGCTAATTAGTTTATCAGATGCAACTTAATTTTAAATATTTTAAATTTAATTTTAAATTTATAGCCGATTTTATGTTTTTCTGTATTTTTCCCAGCAATGAATTTTAAACCGCTAATAACATAATATAAAAGTTTTTATAAAATATGTGTTGGTTGTTTTGCTCCTTTTCTATGGCTTATCAAATATCAGCCGTAACTTAAACGATGAGAGCATTAGTTTGAGCGATTGGGTCTAGTTGCCTGTCATCAAACCATCTCACAAGCTAACTTTACATGCCTTTTCAAGTTTAAAAATAAAACTCCACATGCCTTTTGAAAGCCTGATCAAAGCGAGCGAAATATGCTGCAAATTTTAATCTCTCAAACAAACACAAGACATTAAACAAAACCAAATGGAGGAAAAAATGTCTGGCAGAGAATGATTGATGAACATGAAGCGAGATCGACAAAACAAGTTGCATTTTCTTTTTCTTTCTTTTCTAGTAATAACAAAGAGAGAATAGAGAGAGAAGAGATACCCATATCGAGGAGACACGATGCGCATACGGTACGCCGTGTACAGTGTACAGCCTCCCGAGACAAAATTCCCAACACACCCTGGCGCCTCGGCGTACTACGCTGTAAAGAAGAGAGAACGGGAACTCCCGTTCTCTTGTCCAACAAAAGTTGGATAAAAATTAACAAAAGTTGGATAAAAATTAACATTTTTATGGCACGTTTTTTAAACTGCTAAACGATGTGTTTCGTGTGAACACTTTCTATATGAAAGCTGCTCTAAAATATCATATTAATCTATTTTTTAAGTTTGTAATAAATTAAACTCAATCAATCATATGTTTTGCGTAAAAAACTTAATCTTTATTTTCATCTTTATTTTCAGTAGAAAATAACTCCACCGTAAGAGAGAACGAAAGAAAACGAGAGGCCGCGCCGCCGCCGCGCGCCATACATGTGGCCATTAATTCCCGGGTGGCCCCATACGTCAGCCACGTACATCGCGGTGGGGACTGGGGAGCGGGGTGCATTTAGCATATTTTATCCCGTCGCGCTACGCATAGCGAATATTCGAAACCCCCCAATCCCAACAGGCGACAGCTCGTCCCATGACGAAACTCTGGCACGCGATTTTACGTAACTGCCCTCGCCTGGACAAAGCATTTCACCGGAATTATCTGCAAAGCTGCGTCATCACTCGATTGGGTGAAAGCTTATGTTACGTTTAACTGCTTCATGTTTTCTTGGGCAACTGAAAGCCAAAAACTGATTTGGTCGACCAGCCAAGGTCGTGACAAACAAGACGTCTTTGTATATATCTTGTGTGTTTGCTTAACCTACTTTTAGTGTTCTCCTGCATATCTTAATTCAATCAAACTTTTCTTGCTTTAGTCAACTTATAATCTAGTAAATCGGCAATGAGGTGTTAGAGACTTAGAGTTGGTTACCTAAGATTGTGACATGGAAAAACTTTTGTATGGCTTCGCCTGGGGGCTTAAATAAAGACAGGACGGCGTACAAACCAAGCAAGTCAGCCATTGTACTTGCTTATAAGTATTCGGTATTTTGTTTGCCAGGTAGAAGGGTAATGTTTGTTTGGTACGTAAACCTGAGGATTGAAAATGACGCGACTGGTCACGGTGTCACTATAAATTTATAGACCTTCTATTAAAAAATAAAATAACCTTGTTTCGTGACATTACATATGTATAGATTTGTTATACTCCACTAGATAATATCACACACCATTATAGATTCGTTTATTTCGGAGACAGATAAGGTATAGGTTTACTCTCTTCAATTTGTTAAGAAAACAACTGTTATCAACTAGTATTAAATTAGTATTATGTAAGTGTGAGCGTCTATGTATATCTCGGCACATAAAAATATAAAATGTGAGTATAATATTTGTTTATCTTCGAGAGGAGAGAAGACCATCACACAAAATCGACTATACTAGTGTATAATAGATTGTTTTCTCTGATTACATATGCTGATACACATCATCACATACGGGCAATACACACAATACCGATGATAATAAAATGCACTCACATATGTACAAGTAGGGTTCAAATCTATTAACAGATAAACGACTAGGGGCGGAGGATCAAGTAAGACTAGCATGAGGGGCTAAACAATCTGTCCAAAGTTATAGCCTCCTTTTTTTAAGTAAATACTCCCTCCGTTTCAGACTATAAGATATTTTAACTTTTGTCAAAATCAAACTGTTTTAAATTTAACTAAGTTTGTAGACAAATATAGTAATATTTATAATATTAAAATAATTTCATCAAATCAATAATTGAATATATTTTCATAATAAAATTGTCTTGGGTTGAAAATGTTTCTACTTTTTTTCAATAAACTTGGTCAAACGTAAAGCAGTTTAACTTTGACCAAAGTTAAAACGTCTTATAACCTGAAACGAGGGAGTATATGGCAAAAAAAAAAGATAGACGGTTTAATGGAAACTCCTATAATTTTAACGCTGATAATAAGGGCTTGAGACCCGTGGTCTCCATGGCATGCAGATCCACTATTGTAGACAACCCACATTTTTTTAGCTTGTACCCGATCATTTTGGTTCCATTAGAGGAAGTAAAAAAACAGTGTTGTGCAGAAACTGAAGAACTAAAAAAGACATACCACCTTGTTAACACGTTCCTAAAGTTTCCTGATTTTCTAGCAACGCCCAGAATCAACCAATAATAAAGCTCCTTTAACACGGATTATTTTGCACACGTAGAAAGTTTAGGCCCTCCAGTGCCAGCCACTCAGGCTGCTGCATTGCATAGTGTACTACTAGTCGTTAAACCTATAAAATGGCCAATGCTAGTCCAGTACTACCTCTGGTTCTATAATAATTAACGCTTTGGACAAGTTTCAGGTCAAATTTTTATAAATTTGATCATCAATAACTTTAAAAATATTTAGTTTAAAGAAACTAGAACAACATATATATATTTATCTTTAAAGCACTATAATAAAAGTAAACATATATTTATTTATTGTATATATTATAATAGAAAAATAAGATCAAAGATATATTTTGTAGACCGTGTTATTGTCCAAAACATAAATTAAAATAAAACCGGAGGGAGTATCTCTGTCAAAATAATAGTCCAATGAGAGGAGACCAGTTCGGACACTCAAAATGATCATCACGTCATCAAAAAGCGGCCGTCCAGGGACGAGGGGGGGTACCGTGGTCATTTGCCGCACCGCACGCTCCCCTCGCGAAGCGCCACCGCTTTTCAGCCAGCCGCCCCACGTGAAATTACCCCTCTACCCCCCACGCTCCCTCTCTCCTCCTCTTCCCCTCTCTCTCTCTCCTCCCCCGCTGTCCCGCAGCCTTTCCCAAATCTAGCCGCACGACGCACCAACCCACGCCCGAGCCAGAGCCAGGTCGCCGCGCCACCTCTTCGGCTTCGCCGCGCCGCCGCGAGCGGGCGGGGAGACTCCCCACCCCCGGTGAGTGCCCGCCCGCGCAGATCCGCGCGGTTCTTTTTTTGTGGGGAGAGGCGGGCTGTTTTTTTCTTGCGGTTTGGTTTGGGATTTCTGAGGAGAGGGGGTTTCTGCCTTGGGTGGGGGGGGGGGGAGGATTTCAAATTCGGGAGCTTTTCGGTGGGAGGTTTCTTGGTTCTTGGTAATGCGGGGGGGGGGGGGGGTTTCTTGCGGTTCTTGGGGTTGGCGGGAATTAGGGTTTCGTTGGTGGGGTTTTTTCATGGTGGCTAGGGTTTTTGGTCAGATGGAGCTTCGGTTGGTGATTTGGGTGTTTCTTTGTTCGGAATTGCAGGGAGGGAGAGGGCGGTTCGTTTATTGGATGAGCCGTGAGGAAATTGGGAGGAAGAAGGCGTGATGTTTACTCCGCAGGGGAAGGGGTGGACCGGGTGGTCGACGCCGGCTCCGGCGAACCAGCGGAGCGGTGGCGGCGCTCCCGCCGCGTCGGCGCCCCTTGGCAAGGGGAAAGGGACTACTCTGCGGGTCGCCGAACTGGAACAAGAGGTGTTTTTTTTTAACCCAAATCCTGGCTTTTCTTTCTGTTCGTGGATGTAGCTTTTGAATTCCAATCTAGGGCCATGTTTCTTTGCTCACCAAATGCAATGTGCGGTTTTTCATGGCATGCTATCAGTCGATGAGAAGTGGAAGCAGTGAAATTGAGTGAAAAAAAATATTAGTGTGCCTCGTGATTTCATTTTGAACCGTAAATCATTTGAACATTCCAATTTTCATTTATTTGTGCGAGGCCATTTCTGCACTTGCTAATGATTTAAATAACGTGGTTTCTTATGAACTGCTTAAGAAACAGAGCGCTGCCTAGGGTGCTACATTACATTGGTGTCATTCTTATGTCCTTTTAATAACTCTTCAGTCATGTTAATCTATTATTTGAATATAAAATAGGCTTGTAGAAACTACTGTAACAAGTAGTTAGGCATGCAAATACCTACGGAAGGTGGAATGTTTTATGTGATTGACTTCTATGTTCCATTATAAGCATTCGATCTAATATATATTTTTCTTCAGTTCTTATCTCTCTCACGCTGGCTTCCTAAATCATATTTACTACAGTTGCACATCCATTTTCTTGTTTGATCATACCATTAGTAGTTATTTTCTTTTGTGTTCATGTCCGCAGTTACATGAATATCAGTACAATATGGGGCTGCTTTTGATTGAGAAAAAAGAGTGGACAGCCAAACTTGATGAAATCAATCAAGCGCTGACACAGAAAGAAGAGATTTTAAAGCGGGAACAAGCTGCCCATTTGAATGCCATATCAGAATACGAAAGGCGGGAGGAAAGCATGCGGAAAGCATTGGGTGTTGAGAAGCAATGCGTAACAGATGTATGTTATTCTCTAATAATTTCTTACTCTTGCTGTTTATCAGTATTTCCTAATATTCGTAATGCTGTTAACTGTTGATGACTAAGCAGTTTTTTGAATACTATACTGCATATACTGGTGATATCATATACTGGTGATATGTAAATTTTATCACAGTCATGAATCATGATGTAATAATATCTAATGGTCAAATGAATTGGTTGAATAATTTCTAGGTTATGGTTTCTCCAGCCAATAGTTTTTAACACTGCATTGTCCTTATGTTTATGTTTAACAAAAGTTCTATGTATCTGAGCACACAGCACTTGTCATCTGCAGTCCTTTAGCCTTCGGACCATGTACTTTTGAACGCTTCATTCTTGTTTCTTATCACTTCATATTTCTGAACTTTGCAGCTCGAAAAGGCACTGCGTGAAATTCGTGGAGAGATAGCCGAGGTTAAGTTTATGTCTGAGAAAAAGATAACTGATGCTCAATCCCTTGAGGCTAGTTTGGAGGAAAAAAGGTTGGAGATCGAGGGTAAGCTTCATGCTGCAGATGCGAAGCTTGCTGAGGCAAACCGTAAGAAATCTCAGGCTGACAGGGATTTAGAGGAGGTAGAAGCTCGTCAGCGTAGGCTGGAGAAGGAGAAGCTATATTTTGAAAATGAGTATGGCATTCTTGCCCGTTTTCCTTTGTCTGTGTGCTCTCTACTGTGCCAAGCAATTGATTATTGTATGTCATTGATATGTTTAGGAGGAAGGCAGGGGAGGACCGGATCAAGCGTCAGGAGGATTCATTACGTGACTGGGACAAAAAGCTTAAGGAAAGTCAGAATAGAATTCTTGATTTGCAGAGATCCCTAAATGATCGAGAGGAGAGAGCAAACGAGAATGACAAACTTTTCAAGATAAAGCAAGAAGAGTTGGAGGAAGCAAAAAAAGCTCTGGAGCATACTAAAGCTACACTCAAAATTAAAGAGGACGACATTAACAAACGACTAGCTGAATTACATTTACAAGAAAAGGTAATCCATATATCACTGAATGCCTTTTCCTTTATCCTCATTTCACATTATTACAAATTGATAGTGGAATTAAAATACATATCCTGTTTCTATTCGATTATAGGAAGCTGAATCAAAGAACAGGAAATTAGAAGAAAGAGAGAAAAAAATAGCTGAAAGGGAAGAAAAAGTCAGTGCAAGGGAAAAAGTAAGTATGATAGGCTAATATTGTGTTTCTTCTTCAATATAGTTATACACTTGATAGCAATGTCTAGACCATGTTGGATTGTTGGTTGTGTTTTGTTCTAGGTACCGTTTGGTAAACTCGATTTTGTGTTAAATATGTGGGTTTGATGTTTTATGTTCTCTGTTATTCAGCTTGTTCCCTGTTTTATGCATTCACTATTGCATAAAGTTGCTTATCAATTGGTGCTTTTATCTCTTTTGTGATCTCTTCTTTCAATATAAGTAGCATCATGTCCGTGTGTTGCAATGACTCCTAAATAAATATACTATACTCTTTCATATAATTGTACCAACCAATTCTGTTGCAGGTTGGGCTTCAGAAGCTTCTTGAAGATCATAATGTGAAGCTTGAATCCAAAAGACGAGATTTTGATTTACAACTGGAGAATGAGAAGAAATCATTTGATGCAATGTTGGTACAGAAGGAAGCTGATTTGGTGCAGAGGGAAAAAGATGTCAGATCTTCGGAGGAGAAGCTTTCGAAAAAAGAACAAGTATTAAATGAAAGTAAGAAAAAATTGGAAGAATGGCAAAATGATCTTGATACAAAATCGAATGCTCTGAAGAAGTGGGAGGAATCACTACAAAATGATGAGAAACAGTTATCGGAACAAAAGCTGCAGATTGAAAATGAAAGAAAGCAGGCTGAGATGTACAAATTGGAGCTTGAGAGTTTGAAAGCCACAGTGGTTGCTGAAAAGGAGAAAATATTGCAAGAGCAGAACAATTTGAAACTTACAGAGGAAGAGAGGCAAGAGCACATCATGCTTACAGCACAACTGAAGAAAGAGATTGATGAATACAGAATGCGAAGCAACTCTCTTTCTGAGGAAACTGAAGATTTGAGGAAGCAGCGTCAGAAATTTGAAGAAGAGTGGGAGCAGCTGGATGAAAAAAGAACTCACTTGGAAGAGGAAGCCAAGAAACTGAACAATGAAAAGAAGAATCTAGAAAGGTGGCATGACAATGAAGAAAAAAGGCTAAAGGATAGAGAGGATGAGTTGGACATAAAATACAAGGAGCAGGGGGAAAATCTCGCACTTAAGGAAAAATCCTTGATCGATAATATAGACCATCAGCGTTTGGAAAATGAGGAATTGCTAAAGAGAGAGCGTGCTGATCTTCAACGAAATTTGCAGCTCCATCGGCATGAATTGGAGATGGAGATGGAGAAAAAACAAGCGAGCAAAGAGAGAGAACTTGAAGAGAAGGAAAATGAGTTAAATAGGAAGATGGACTTTGTAGAAAATGAGCTCAAACGTGCAGCCGAATTGAATGAATCAAAGATTCAGAAGATACTATTGGAGAAAAAACAGCTGCAGAAGGAAAAGGAAGTTCTTGTGGAGGATAGGCAAAAACTGGAAACTGACAAGGCAGATATCAGAAGGGACATTGATAGTCTGAACACTCTCAGCAAGAGTCTGAAAGAGCGTAGAGAAGCATATAACAGGGACAGGAATAACCTCATCGATATATTTGAAAAGTACAAGGTGTGCAAAAATTGCGGGGTTATTATTTTTGAGGGCTTGGATGCCCTAGCTCTTAAAGATAGCACTGATATAGAATATCCTAGTCTTGCTGTTGAGGCGGATGATCGTTCCCCCAATCCTGACACCTTAGCCCAAGAGACCGGAGCACTTGTTAATTCAGGTGGCCGTTTATCATTGTTGCAGAAGTGTTCAAGGATTTTCAAGTTTTCTCCTAGGAAGAAGGCTGAGCAATCATCTGAACAGCAAGCAGTGAAGAACACAGACTTTGGTGCAAGACTAGAGGAAGCATCGCAGAGCGATGATGATTATGAGCCAACTCCTGTCTATCAGGTAGCCTATAACTCATTTGATGCTGAGGATCTCCCATCTGAGAGTGGGGCATTTGAGAATGAAGAATCTGAAAGGCAAGATATAGCAGATGACGTCCAGATGGAGTCTTCTCTTGGAGTTGCAGATAATTGTGTAGATATTCATGGAACTCAATCATTTGATGGCAACACGGACATGGTGGTGGACACAACTATTGTGGATGTTGACCAAAACGGGAAGGACTCGGCAGTGCTTCCCGTTGTAGATTTGGAGCCTGAAACATCAAAACAAGGACGGCGCCAACAAAACAGGAAGGGTAGAGCAAAAGGTGGTGTAAAACGGACACGGTCTGTTCTTGCGGTAGTTGAAGATGCTAAAGAAATACTTGGTGAGAATTTAGAAGTAAAAAAGGATGATGGCCAGGGAGATTCAGTTACTGTGGGTGGTACACGGAAGCGGCGCTTTGCTGGAGCCACAATCAGTGAGCAAGATGAGGACAGTGAAGCTCATTCTGAAAGTGTTTCACTTGGAGGGCAGCGCCGCAAGAGGCGCCAAACAGCTGCAGCAGTTACGCAAGCCCCAGGAGAAAAACGCTACAACCTCAGGCGCACCACAGTGTAAGTTTCTGTATTTATCCCACGTTTAATTTCTACTCAAGGTTATCATCCTTTTTTTAACTGACTTGTGGAGTAAATTGATTTCCTTTTTGCTTTATTTTGTTGGAAAGTGCAAATGCGGCAACTGCAGCCCAAACCAACAAAAAGAAAGCTGCGAAAAAGGGAAGTAAACAGACAGTAGAGGCTACCGCAGATGACACAGAAGGAACCTCAAAGGCTGAGGAACCTGCCACTGGGAGCAAAGGGGCCTCCCAATCAGCTGATGATGCATCTCAATTACCCGAGTACTCGCAGGTAAGATCCATTCTGCATTGTTTGCTATTCTGTATTTTATGTAATACTTTGAAAGGCTTTCAGTATCTTGGATGCATGCCTTTCTGGGTTGAGGCCAAGCTTTCTTTTTGGGTTTGTGTGGCATATACATTCAGGATCACAGCTAACTCGAAACTTGCTCTTGTTAGGCTGAAGCTGGTGACACACATGGCCCTGTAGAGGTCACTAGTGCAGAGGGGGTAGATATTGTGGATGGTATAGATGCAGCACCAGATGCGATGCCTATGACACCATCAGGAAGTGAACTTGGAGCTGAACAGGATGATGAGGAGGACGATGACTCCGAAAGGCGGAACCAATCAATTGGGAAAAAGCTATGGTCTTTCTTCACTACATGACAATTGCAGAGGGCTACTGAATAGGTTATTTCTAGCGTTTCTGTTTTCGATTCATGACATGCCATTCTTGGAACTCTAGGTTGTGTGCTTGGTGATGATGATGATGTACTAGTAGATTTTCCCACTTCAATTATGTTCTCCCCCTGTAATTGAAATATATTTGTAGTAGACATAGCTTTGATGGGCGCTCACAGAAGTTAGCTTTTGAGAATGTACAATGGCGCGATGCCTGTAACTGTCAAGGGTTGAGGCTTGTAATTGTTGTTCATTTTGTTCCAGGATCAGTTTACGTGGTTGACCACCTTGCGAAGTTTGTGGCATTTGTCAACGCGGGAAGCTTTTTTTTTTCTCGTCCAGACGACCAGATTGTCTTCCATGTCTTTGTGCATCTTGAATTATAGGACTTTGTTGACTGGCAGTTCTTCAGCTTGTGAAATAGGGGGCTCAACAGTGGCATCCAGGATCAGTTACATGCAAAGTTTGTGGCATTTGTTGACGCTGGAAGCATTTCCTTTTTCTCGTCCAGATGACCGGATTGTCTAGCATGTTCTTGTGCCTCTTGAATTAGAAGGCCCTTCTGTTGACTGGTAGTTGTGCAGCTTGTGCAATGTCTTATCAGTGCTACCTCCATCCCTCCCAGTAATACCTCTATTCCAGATTTTTAGGGGTAAACATGATTATTAAAAAAATATATGTAGATTTAAATGGAGATGTTGTGATTGGATGAGAAGTATAATAGATAGAATTAAATAGAGTAAGTTTGTGATTGTATGCGAAATGGAAATATATGGTGTAATTGAACGGCGTAGAGCCACGAGTTGGGAAGAGAATGTTAGTGAAAAAAATATTATATTTTAAAATAAATTTTAAAGATTAAAAATTGCTATATTTGGCAGGAGTAGTGTATTTTTGGCTTGTATATACGTCAGCTGTCTGGGCCTTCCAATGGACGTCTGCTTCGATGCAAGCAATCGCCGGTCTTCTGGCTTACGCGGCTAAGGAATATCTATGCTGGACTCTTTGCCTTTGTCCCTAAGGCATGCTGTTCTGTTCTGTTGTGATATTTTCTTTTTCTTTCGAGACGGTTTGTTTGCAGCATGTGCTCACTTTCATTTGGCGTATCTACGCTAGCCTAAAGCAAATGCATGTATGTCATACCCACAAGTAACTACAAATTCTCTTGACTTCACCTTGCAGTATACTAAATAAAAAAAATTGTCTGTATTTCCAGCCATAAATTTTGCATAAACAAATCATATTTACCTTCTAAAAAAGAATAGTATTTCCAGAAGGAAAGCACATAGTACTTCACCAATCTTTTGCCCAAAAAAAAAACAATTGAGAGCAACTCGGTGTCCCAGTCTAGTAGCTTTGTTTCTTGTGGCTACTTTGGAACGCAAAAAATCTCACAAAAAAATATTTTTCATATAAATCAGTTTAATACCTAAAGAACCCCAGGGGGAATTCCTCAGGAGTACGCCTAAAAATACATATGCATTGTTCCAATATTTATACGTGTTAATAAAATAAAATAAAATAAAAATACGTGTTAAATATCTCATTATCCCATGATTCTTACCAGGTTATAGGACTCCGTATAGCACTTTCGTATGGTGTTGTAATCGCTTCATTGTCCAATTTTATTTAGACGTAAGCAGGCAGTACTACTTATGTACAGGTGCGGAGAGTTGCATCGGGAGAAAAAGCCTACTATATGATAATTCGACGGATTTGCTGTTAAATCCGAGTTAACCAAACAGAAGCCGATCAGAGACCCTACCCTCCGCCGATGCGTCGAGAAGAAGCCTCCGCCGCCGCCGCCGCCGCCGAGGCTGGGACCCCGCGCTCACCGGACCTCCACGACCTCTCCGACGACTCCGACTACGCCGCCGCCGCCGCCGCGTCCTCCAGTCACTCGGTGCGCCTCTCTCCCCCACCACTCGTGTGCTTCCTGCCGTTCCCCGTTCGCCTCGCCTCGCTTGCTCCCGACGCGAGCGCGCGATTCGGTCGCGGCGCGAGCGAATTCGCTCGATTAGGTCGATGATTTTTGTTGGGAGGTTTTGGGGGGATTTGGGATCCCGCTGCTCATCAGATGTTGTTGGGGCATCGGGGTTCGGGGGTAGTGCTCTAGTTCCGCACGTAACTAGTTCGGCAGCTGTCACCTCTTCCTCCGTACATTGATTGGTTTTATTGGTTGGGTGGGTGTGTGCGTGCTATGGATGGCGATGAATGATAGCCTATGTTGAGTTCCCAATTTGGATTGAATTGACGTTCGTTTGGTTGGGTGAACTGAATTTGGTGTTTGTTTGGTGATCGAAGGCGATGCGGAGCGATCTGGTGGATCAAGGGTCGGGCGAGACGGCGAAGGTGGATGTGGTGTACGAGAAGGAGCGTGTGACGATCCACCCGACGCAGTATGGCTCCGGCCGGATCAGCGGGAAGCTGCGCCTCTACTTGCAGCAGGGCTCCCTGTTCCTGGTGAGTTAGAACCCCAGTTAGTCTGAATTGTTGATTGTTCATGAATTTGTGGTAGGTTTTGATATTATTGTTACCACATTTGCTGTGAGGATTGAACCATGGTCCTTTTGGCTTGATGGCCAGGGCATTCGTGTTGCTACTTGAATTATATGTTGGTTGGCTTATATATCTTTGCTTATCATTGTACTCCATATATGCTAATGATACAATATGCTACTATTCCTGCATAGACGTTCCTTCCACATTTTCTGCTAAATGTCTGATATTAGAACAAGAGAACTGAAATTGAAAATCCATATGATTGTTGTTGGTTGGCACCTGAATATGGTTTTGTTACACATGACATGTTATCATATTGGTACCCAAGTTGCTTAATTTTCTTCTTCATTTGCTTATGTCTTTGTTCAAATCTGTGTGACAGAGTTGGGAGCCAAATGAGGGAGTTGATTCTTTATCAAGCAATTCAGCTACCATGGAAATAGAAAAATGTAGGAACAACACAATATATTTCTTTTGTCATACTTGGTAATTGAAGTGCAGCAGTGATTACACTTGACTCTTTCTTTACTTGCCTGACTATGTACAGATAGAAACCTGTACACTATAAAGGCCTTGCCATTAAGTGATGTACGCTTCATCCGTAAGCACACCCCGACATTTGGATTCGAGTACATAATCATTGTTCTCTCATCAGGTGAAGTGCTCTTCTAGTTGTTTGCTTTCTTGTGGTTAGTTTGAAACTTTTTGGAATTTCTATAGTCACGGTGATCACTGATCACATTAGCTTTTAGGTACTTTATCTTACAGGCTCATTGCATTTCTGCTTCTTCTAGCTACATAATACACATGCTGACAAAAATGAAAAAAAATGATTTATTGTATTGATGTATCTTTTCAAGTTTTGCAGGATTGGCTTTTCCTCCATTCTATTTCTACAATGGTGGGCTTCGTGAATTGTTTGCGACACTAAAGAAGCATGTTTTTATTATCAGGTTTTCTTTCTGGGTTCACTCTAATTAAATAATTAGTCAAGCTGTCCCTTGTTTGTTAGTGCCTAAATTGCTCATTCCTGGAAATGCAAAAATTGCTATCTGGATTATGAGTGGACTATAAGTGAAATCTACATACAACAAATCTACCAAGTATATCCATAACTGGATTTTCAAAGCACTTTTTTTTCCTTCTATATGATAGGATACTGTCATAAATATTTAATATTTATGATCTAATTAACCTACACTTGGGAAGATGCTTCACTGGACATTTCAACATATCTAGGAGCGTTTAGTAACTCAGCCTACAGAAAACTAATTAAGTAATGGAGCATTAGAGTGTCATACTACAACCAATCAAATGTTTACAGAAGTATCTTTTGCTGCATATATGATTGGATTTTCTCTACTCTATCTCAAGGTCGGACGATGATCCTAATGTATTTCTTGTCAACGACTTTCAAGATCCTCTACAGGTATGTTATTATACTTTCTTGTAGCCAGACCCATAATTTCTTTAAGACCACCATGCCCTCAATAGAAACTTTACTGTCCTTGGGAATATGCAAAACAATCCTTTTAGTAGGAGTCCCTTGTAAAGCTATATAGTCATCTTTGTTTAGAAGTCCATGTTCTGGCCTATGTCTTGCATAAGTTTAACTTAGAACGATTACTTACCCATGAACCTCAAATCCACTTTATTTGATGCCTTATAGAAAAGTTTGTCATCACTGGAGCTTCCTGGTGTTGCCACCGTAGCAAATGCCATGTCACGACAGAACTCACTCAGTTTCACTAGTTCAGTTGATGAAGCCAGACATGGGAGTGATGCCAAACATGGGGCATCTTCTAGCATGACTGAATATGTCTCAAAGCAAAAGCACAGATCGAATGATCCGGGTCGTGATCTTTCTATCCAAGTACTGGAGAAATTTTCTCTGGTTACAAAGTTTGCACGAGATACCACGTCAAGTCTTTTTCGGGAAAACCACAGTAGTGGTGGTCATACTTATGGAAGGCAGCAGCAAGAATATGTTTTGGACAACAGAGCAAATGATAAGTACAAAGATCAGCAAATAACACCAGATAAGGATTCTTTGCTGTCAGATTCAATGGAGGTAACCATATCTTTTTTTCTATTGTTCTTTGTTATTCGTCCACTACAAATTTTGGAAGAGAGCAACAACAGAACAACTTTTTGAAGCACTCACAAGTCATGGAGACAAGCCTTTAAATTTTACTGTTATGGTTAATTCATTTTTATTCTAATTTTTTTTGTCTGAAAACAGTAGGGGATGCACCTGCGATATATATAAAAGAATAAGTAATACATACAGAGAGAGTAAAACTAAAATACAATTTCATATTCACAATTAGGATTAAGGCCATCTGTAATGAGAAGAAACCTAAGCTAAACTAGTATTATCTTCTGTCATCTGCTCATGTTCAAAACCATTATCTGCCAACTTCCTTTCTATTACTAGAGGTAGTATTAGATGTATCTTCTATGTATTATTTAGCACATATTTGTTGTCACTTTAGTTGGAAAACTTAAAAAAAAAGATTTTTTAAATAAAAAATAGTCAGTTTTTTTCTTCTGACCCCTGGTACTGTCCAAAGCTATTACAATTTTGCATACTGCAATGTGTGTAACATCAGTTTCCTTGATCTTGGCAGTCTAATAAAATTCTAGCGTGGGGAAAACCAAGAGAACAACCGTTGAGTGTTGATGAGGTATTGAATTCTCTGAGCACTTATTTTACATATCTGTCCCCTTATGTTCAAGTGCTCTATGGTGCTAAAATTCCATGTGCTATTATTCTGCTTAGCGTTGCAGTTCAAATAATTACTAGATCTGTAACTCAATCCACAAGA